TTATCAGCGTGTATCCTTTTTCACGCAACATGATTATCCAACTCCATCTGGCCAAATTTGTGAGAGCATTCTGGGTACAAACAGTACCACTACTTTAGACTTGTCCGATTGGGTAATATGATTAAAGCAAGCATGGGCGCGAGAGATTGATGCGGCACGTAGTCCATATTCATTGGTCAGGCTTCGGCATATACTTGATCTACCTGTGTCCTGGCTCTAAATCTCGGGCTCACGTTACGGAGCATGTATAGATCTAGTCGCTTTTCTCTTGTTGAAAGATCCGGTCAGAAACGTCCACAGTTAGGGTCTTTCAGAGTCAAAAAGAGGAGAAATAAGATTCATCCGCAAACAGTTAGAGTTAAAGCTCCTATATAGGGAGGGCTAACAAAAAATAACTTCGCGGGACAACACGATGCGCCTCGGTAGGCCGACTTCGGAGTCGAATGCAGAGAATTACCGCCGAGGCGGTACAGGATCCGACGTGAAAACAATGCCTAATAGTCAAGCCGCGTTTTCTGCGAGACCTCGATCACTCTCGCGCAACCAGACCGTCCTGGGAAGTCTCGCGAGTTTTGACTTGAGCACAGTGATCCCAATTTGACGTACCCGACGCAAAGTCCGATCATCGAGCGCAAGGCTCAGACCGCAGCGTTGCGGACGCAGACTAAACTCGGGCTTTTCGCGCCTCAAAGTTTCTATCGTCAACCACGATGCAACACGATGCTCGTCTGGGAGGTCCCCGTAGCATTTTTAATCTGGGCATATCTCGTAATCAGCATCGAGCTCTATCGATGTGCACATGGTTCTCGGCCCATTCAAAGTGTGTATCAGATGGGGAATTAAACAGTCTCACCATTTCCTTGTCAGAACAGCCTTTCCCCTGCTCATTTCCACTCACATTCCATGAGCTCCGATAATAAGCTCTTCAGCTGTTCTTTTTGGTCCGATCTTAGCGTTGAAATCACCGACGATGACCTTGAAAAAAGGTATGATCTTCCTTGCAGAACTTCTCCAATTCCATAGAATGCTTCGAGCTCATCCTCGTCATAGCTAGATGTTGTGCGTAGGCGCGAAAAATTGTCAAAGGCCGGAGTTGAAAATAACAATCTTCTGATCGCAAACGTACCGATTCGGTAGTGGCAGATTTTCGTACGCAATCGCAATGTCTCATGAGCGCAACATTTGCGACGACAAGGCTCAAGTAGCGTGTTTGACGAGAAACCATGCCGTCATAACCCGCCCCAACCCGCGGTAAACTGATACGCTCTGCTGTCCGGGATGTTCCGAGGAACAGTTCTTCTCCAGCCTCAGGCATACTAACGGAAGTTGGTCAGGCACACATTTAGCCGGGCGGAGCCATCCCCCTACCTCGTACTAGCGTGTGTCTCGATCAATCCGAGATGCACGCCTGCTTACAATGACTCTGCTTTACTCTCTCGGCTTCTGCGCACGACTTTACGTTGGATTCGAGTGTTCGAGTGTGAGCTTCCTCACGCGCGTGACACTGGGCTGTACTTGTGAAGCCTTCGCCGTGTTTGCGCCATGTGTGTCCTCTGACAGCCTGCCTCGCTTCCGATCGCAGCTCGCGGCCCTATCGCCGGACGCTCGCCCTGATTCGTGTTCCCCTCAAGTTTCCTGAAATAATGGACATAGTAAGCGAGATCTAGCCAACTTAGTAGCCTTTCCCATATTACTGATTTTCGGCGAGTGAAGATTATAAATCTGAACGTGTGGTAAAAATCGGCGTCTCAGCGCTCAGCCAATTGCGCTCGCACTCACCTTAAACGGCGCCGGCAATTGTGTCAGCGTGCAAGCTGCGATGTGGTGTTGGAACCCAGATCCATTATGAACCCGTTCGACGGGGAGTGAGAGGCCATTTTTGGAGCTATTCATCGACTCGAAACTGGAGACACAATCGAGAGGCCCTAAATTCAGGCCTTTTTGCCACAGCGCTTTTGACTTCGTCTGGATAGCGATAGTCAAGCAGGCCTGACGTACTTTGGTCGACAACCATGTTTCTTTTTGTCGGCTTTTATATTCTTTTGTTTTCTGATCCTCGAGAGCAACGCTCCGCGGAGTCGGTGTGAGTCTTGGTGTGTTGCCGCCGACACGCCCCGCTTCAACAGTTGGTGGAGAATGGCGTGACGCAGCGTCCAGATCCGCTACCCTTGGCACGCCCAAGCGTCTGCAGCGACAAACGATTGTAAGACTTTTGCGAGCAACATTTGTGGGAGGTTACCACCATTCGGCGAGTTCTAGATTTCTGACCTTAGAGCCAGAGTTCGCGATTAGCCAGTCCGTTGGTATCGTGGTTGAAAGTAAAAGTGTACGTTCCAGCTGACTCGCTCGCTTAAGCAAAGAAAAGAGGAAAGGCAAAACGCTCAAAATCATGGTTTCTCCCGTGCTAAGAAAGAGATTAAAAAAGTCGATGTGGGTTCTCCGAGGGAGAGGCCAAACGAGGCCAGCGAGAGAGCGCGCAAACGAGTAAGGCAACCTATGAAATATCTATCGCGGAGTCACTTGTACGACCTTATGCCTTACGCCACCACCACACAGCATTTCTGACGCGAATATTGTACAGGGTTATTCGCGTGGTTTCTCTATCTTCTCCTTCGAAGAGCTTAGATACTCACAAGTGATCGTGGGCCGTGCCTTTGAGGACAGCGCCCGCGACAACCAAGGTGCAGAAATCCTTCAGAGTACAAGATGGCGGAGCTTGTGGTCACAGAGGATATCCCACTTTCGTGGCTCAAAAGCGCTTGATAAAAGCGCGACAGCTCAGCAACGATAAGCTGACTTTGCATCCAAAGGTGGAGTCAGCTTATCGTTTCAGCGGGTTCCACCTCAATCCTCATTTTCTTATTACCAAGATTCGTTAGCGGTGCAATCTTATCGAATATGCCTTGGAGAATGAGTCGCAGAAAGTGCTGACTAAATTCGGAGAACTCACCCAACGTTCGATTAACTCGTCCATTTTCAATCCCGGTCTTATCACGACGCTTTCAACGGGTCCTTTTGTTTTTTTCTTCATTAGTGTGCTTACAACATGACCTATACATTTCTACGCTCTGCAACCTACGAAAGGTGTTTTTGACGAAGCCACTGCCTCGGTTCATCCGTACTGTTTGGGAGACGGATCGAGGCGCTTTTCGCTCACTATGTTGACATTACGTCGCGTTTCTCCATAACTTTAAGGTTTCATAGGAGAATGGGCGGAGATTCAGGTAGTGAGGCGGAGGTGGAAATATCGCAAGCCGTTGGCGGCCTTGCCACTCACTTTCGAGCCGCAAAAGTTGTGCATCCTCCAGGATTGCGGATGGATCATTTTATGCAAAGACCCATTCAGACGGAATGCGTACCGTCCCCTGAGGGGAAGCTCTCGCCGTTCTGGCTGACGTCTTGTGTTGAAGTGCCTCAGTCTCAGGTCATGACCTGAATGCTTTTTAGGTACTGATCTTCGTCAATGAGTCGACAATAAAAATACAGGGAGAGATTGCCAATGTCGTTTCCGAAAAAGTACGTTAAACACGGATACGTTGGTGTTTTTGTCGCCAAATGTTGTTTGAGGAGGTAGAGGGGTGTGAGCAGGTACTGCGAGCGGCACTGGACCACACTCATTTCCTGCTCATCTGCCCTTTGAAAAGGGTCAACAACAGTCGCCCGACACTATCTTTACAACAGCGTCGATGAAATATGGATGTGGTTATGGAGGGGACGGTTAGGACTCCACTAATGTGAGTCTGTCGTTGCATCGCGGCGCGGGCGAGACGGGCCGCACGGCATATGCACCCGCCCGCTACATTTCCATTCGCTCTCTTTATTAGTGGGTGCGAGAACTATAAGCTTAAAAGGGTTGGTGTTGGACTTTCATTGTAAAACAATGTGAATATTTACACAAACACGATATTCACAGAATATAACAACTCTTAGCTATCGAGAAAAGCTAAAAGGGAATACTATTCGCTCCTAAAAAAACGAAAAATGTGACATGAAACTAGAGAAAATAAAGACAGACCACTAACAGAGGAAGAGAGAAATATGGGATACACCTCGAGGAATCTTTTTTTCAGATTTCAACTAGCCAAAAATGTACACCCTGTTTGCCTATTGTGAGCATCCTGTAATCTCTGAAAAGGCCCCGGTTTTTGAGAATGGATTCAAACTTAGAGTGAGAGTAGCATTACCAAGAAAATAAAACCAAAACTTCTGAGCATGTAATGAAAGAATACTAAAATATCCATACGGTTCATGTGGGAGCGAATGAATGTGTCCGACTCTGCTTCACCGCCACTGAGAAGAAAAAGGTCGGTCAATCGAATATTACGAAGACCTCAAAAGGATTGATCAAGCCGTAGAATACTTCCGCTAGAATCATGAATTCTGCCACTCACTAAATTCCTACTAGCGAACAAAATATCAAAGGAAAAGAAGCACGACAGAGAATATAAGGCATGAACTAAAAACATCACGAGGAGAAGATAGCAACAACACTGAAGCAGTAACAGAACACAATAGAAACAAGCGAACCAGTATAAGAAAAACCCTATACAAAGAACAGTGAGAACAGTAAAAAATCGTGGATCAAGAAGCAGACGTGGAAAATAGATAGAACAGAAGAAACACAGTAAGCTGGTGAAGAAATACAGCAGTAATCAGGAAGTTATCTCGTCTATTATTACTCCACTGATTTGGCAAATACCAAGCAGGCCAAACACCAAGGCTGTGTGAAGGGAGTAGTACATTGCTCATTCAATAGAGGGATCTCGTCTAATTATACAGCAATCGCCGCGCGCGGCGAGGCAAAAAAATGGCGGCATAACGTCAGATTCCCAACCTACACCTGGCTTATAATTAGGGCCATGACTCCAGCATGGCTATTTGGTAGCAGTTCCAGTGCCAATCTAATTCAGGAGTCCATACAGCTGAGTGAGTTCCTTGGCTACACACTGTTCATTCCGGTCATACTTGTCGCTCTTTCCATTGTGGGCCTTGCAGCTATCATGGGAGGGTAAGTACCGTCTAGAAAAAAAACTACTTACAAAAAGATTAAGAGACAGTGATACATTACAGATGGAAATTCCGGACGGGCAGTGACCGTCTCGATTCGCGAAAGTCTCGTCGTGGTGCTTTAGCCATTACTGCTGCGTCTGCATTGGCCTCTGCGGCTTATACTTCGTTGATCATCGGAGCCATGCTCTGCCTCATGTCCGCGTATGTTACTTTCCTTTTTGTACATTTTCTCCTTGATAGATAACAGAGTCAGAGATTGCGGGTCACGAGGTCCGGATTGCGTTGACGCAGTCTTGCATGCGCGGAACAGGCAATACGTGCCGCAATAGATTGAGCAAAGGACCCGGTAGAATGATTCCTTTGCGTTATCTGCACTCGGATCTTCTGTCGGCGCTAGGAGGTCAAGAAATAGGGAGCATCGTGGCAGTGTGCAGGCCACGACTGCCTAGTTGGTCCAACGCAGTACTACTCTAACCCAAGTCAACTAGCACCCATCTCCGAAATTCTAACTTCAGGTTCTGCTTTCTAGTTGCGTTTGGTGCCATGATGGTTTGTATGGGACTATTCAAGGATGACGACCTTCGTCTATTTCATGTAATGTTTTTTTGCTGAGAGTGCGTACACATTTCGCGATCCGATCACTTGAGCGCAATCGAATGAATGCTGTCTTACTGTCGGGGATCGATCGAATAACTCATTTGTACTGTCTGCTTCCCCTTTGGAACTACATGGATCATTTTATGATCTCTTGTGAACACTTTCTAGTTCACTGTGAATCCACGAGTGAAAACTGTACCAGTAATGCCAGATGGGAGGGGGTATGGCCTAATCATTTTCTGCTCGTATGCGCCGCCCTTACCGAAGTATCTGGAATTACAACAGCCTAATGGCTCCGGAGGTCCCGGGCCAGCCCCAACAAAGCCCTTTGTCGCTATCTCACTGCTGATGAGCCCATCCACTAGATTGCGTTCAGACTTCGCGATGATGCGCATTTACGCGCGAGGAGAGCGCTCCAGTGCTATACGAGAACGCGACCGCAGAGGGTAATCGATGGGAGCTCGCAATTTGTGAGGGTTTAGGATAATAAGTCGTTGCTTTCGCACGATCTGATACCCTACTATTTTTCTATTCTCAAAACACGGTCGTTACCCCTCTGCAAGATTGGGCATAGTGTACCCTCTTGCTCCCTTAATACACAAGCGACCAGCGCTAGTCTATTTCCGTCTGCTGCTTGATATCCTTTGCATCACATTCTAAAGAAAGTGGATATGGAATCGAGGGATTACCGAACAGGGCACATCATTGGTTGGGGATTTTAGTCGACTATATACGACCTCCCCTTTTTTGGGAGTTGGTACGACCCCCCCCCCCCAGCCCTCTCGTTCCTCATCCTCATCGAATCGAGCCGTCGAGCGGGCGGGGGGAGGGGGGGGTAAATAGCACATGTGAAACAGGAAAAGCCGCGAGACAATACGACCCCCCCCCCTCTACAATCAGATTTTCCCCAACTTCCTGCCCCTTTTTTCCAAAATTTCCCGAAAACTTCCCTACTTTTTACCAAAAATTTTGCTGTCGAGCGGGGGGAGGGGGGGGGGGGGCATATAGTACGTGAAACAGGAAAATCACCAAAAGTCAACCGCCACTCCCACAACGCCAAAACGTAAATACGACCCCCTCCCAAAAATGATCAAATACGACCCCCCCTCCCTTTACAACGTCCATGAAGCGAGAAAAATCAACTATCAAAATAAATTTTTCTCAGCCCAAATACGACCCCCCCTCCTGGCGACCAAATACGACCCCCTAATGGGGATTCCCAACAACGATGTGTCCTGTTACCGAAGGTTCGCTGCAACGCAAGCAGCGAGACAACGCTTCCGTTAGAAGTGCTTCTTACCCGTAGCTGGCGCAACTGATCTCGTTTACGCCTTTTATATTTAGGCTATTCCCAACCTACAGTATCATGCGAAGTTTGGCAAGCAAGAAGTCAGCTACTCACTTTAGTGAGTTTTTGGGCTATTCTCCAGCACGTTGCCAGGTCTGGTGATAGGCGATTTCGGCTACGATTGTAGGCGCTGTGTCGCTTGTACAGTTCAACAATTGGTGGAAAACGGGCTGACGTCGCGTCAAACCCGGCTCCTACCTTCCCCGTCACCCCCCCTCCCCCCGAGACGCGTCAGGGTCTGAGCAGAAAAGAACTGCACCTCGTCTTCAATTACTTTCCATGTCATGGAATCTGCCCTCCGATGGCATCCGAAATCCTGGTAATGCGCCAAAAGCACTGCACGAACGACACATGCAGTGCGTACTGTTCGAGAAGTACAGGGTTACAAATAAAAAGACTTGCTCATGAAGTGGATCATCCAAGTTCACTTCGCAAAGAGAGGCAAGCTACATAGAGGACCCATGCCTGTTCCTTGAATGTTTTTTATCAGTGCGAGCAAGCACTCAACACCAGTCTCCACAGTTATGACAAGGTGAAGCTATTCGTCTTCGCCATCGAGCTCAGGACTGGCTGTAATCGCGTCGGCCTGAAGTAGCTGTCTTGAAGCGATTATGATTAGGCAGCGTTCAGACTTGTAGCGCTACAGCGTCGCGCTACAGCGTCGCGCTACAGCGTCGCGCTACAGCGCCGCTTCGCAACGTACTGCTATTTCCAACGTTAGGATGATTAGAGTTGCTTACAGAGAAAAGTGGGAAGGTTGCTGGAGTTTTCTTGAGAAATTCACGGTGAGACTGATACAGCTGTAACTATCTGACGCCATCCTTGACAGTTACTCC